ACTGCAAATAAGAAAGGATAAGTCATATTCTTTATTTAGAAAGGCATAGCAATCAGACAAGACAGTTGCTGCTCATGTTGCGGAGATGGAGGAGACAGAGAGAGAGAAAGAGACATGATTGAGGCCTTGTTATCTACAGTGTCTTCTTAAGAAATATCTTCAAACAAAACACTTTCAGCAGACAGGATCCTGATCAGAGACAAAAGTATTTGAATCTTTTTCCAGCAATGCTGAAAGGACAGAGATGTGAAAACTATAAAATAAAAACAGTTACAAAAATACAGAGCTAGGAATCTCAGAGCACTAATGGAGAATGCAAAAATCAAACATCTTAGTGCCATCACAACTTTCCATATTATGAACTTCTGCCTTACAGACCAGCCTCCAGGGCTAACTCTACAAGTTCTGTCATTTCTATATAAATACTAGCCTGCACAGAGAAGTATGACTGGGAAAATCCTAATTTCAGCAGTCTTCCAATGAGATATATACCTAGGACGAGATAGAGAGAATGTTCATGGCAACTGGAATGTTTTATTGTGAGATATGTTGTTTTCTGTTAACATCCTCCAAAGAGGGGAATGTAAAATGTTTCAAATAGAAATTATGAAGATAGATCTGGATTTAAATGGGCACAAGGGGCCTCCTCTTCCAGCAATGCCATAGGACCCAAACATCTTGGGGTCCTATAATGTATCCACAGACATGCTCCTTTGCAGACCTCTGAGCCATTCAACCTGGAGCTTAGTCCATCCCTAGTTCAAGTTACATAATTCAGACATGGACCTGTGTTAGTTGGAGGTAGTAAGTTTATTCCCAAACTTAAGACTTCCGTTAAAGTTTTCATTCCCCCAGAGAGTTTCCTAGGGACTGAAATTTTGACTATGCTTTGCTGAATATTTAATTTTCTAAAGCAGTGTCACTCTGACCTTCCCTTCCATGGTTATAACTACTGTAGAGAAAGTATAGAGAAGTGTTATTTCTTACCTACTGGAAGAACATTTAGGATTTGTAACTAGTACTATCTGAATTTAATACTTTATTTGCTTCTTGTTTAGAGAACACAAACAGTGTAGGATGTTTGGCTACTGTTTGCTTTTCCCATTTTCCTGCTTAAATTAGCACATGAAAACAGTAAAAGCCTAATCCTTGACTTGAGTTCTACACAAGAAGACATCTCCGAAGATCTTGGGGGTATGTAACTGCTATGACTGTTAGTACAAAATCATTCATTCAGTGGTTGATTCAAACCCTATAAAGTCAAAGTAAAGACTCACTGATTTCAATTATATTCATTTAAGACTAAGGCTCCACAGCTCGCTAAGTTGAAACTCAATGCCAAGGCTAACAGCACAATTACTGGCTGTCTCTAGAAAAAAGCCAATGACTAAACTGACATAGAAACTTAACTACTTTATTCCCTACTTGCAAATGGAAGAATTCTGTGGAAACACACATACAGATTTCTGTACCTAGCTTGGGCAATTTCTCCATTACTAACACTTTTGAGTATATACATGAGAACAGATTATTCAGTGCTTGATAACAAAACTTCAAAACTATTGCAAAGTTTTCTGCTAATGTAAAGAAATCAGCAGCACACAAAACAGACCAGTCTAGCACACAGAAGGCAGTATAAATAGAAAGATATGGATCAACTGTAGTCAAGAATGTAAGGGAACAAGGAAATAATTCCTGATAACTCTCTGCCTGAGTGATGTCCAGGTGTCATTTACTGTGAGTAGCAATTTCACCTCTTCTTCTCCAAACTAAAGTCAAATCAGCCCAATCAACAAAAATTATCCTGGGAGAACACATACAGAAATCAGATACATGCAGTAAATCAATAGCCCATTACATTTATTGCTCATTATTCACAGTAGCTTTTTACACTTCCAGATGAAATGGAGCTTGACTGTGGGGTACCACAGTCACACTATAACTGTGCAACGCACTTTGGTGTCATTTGGTATTAGTGCATTTAGTACATTTAACAATAGCTGAAACCTGATTTGCCAGTTTCACATCAAACCACAAGAAACCACAGCTGAAAGAGGAGCTGTTATCAACAAATTAAATTATGTATGTCTCTGTCAGAAATCATAGTATGAGTACATACACAAAGTTGGAGTTATATAAGGTTATATTGCTTCCCGATCCAGGTCTTGAAACTACCCCCAGAATCCCAGAATTAGAAGTGTGTACCTTAGTATTCAGCTCCATTGTACTCCAATATTAATGTGATTCAAATGGGAAATTACATTTGTGAGACAATTTTGGAAACTGCTAACCTCCTGCTAACAGCCATTTTCCAGGTGAAAGCAAAACCTAGCTGAATGAGTTCTTTCTCGCTATATCCCTCAGGAGCAGTAAGCTCCAGACTTCACTTGAGAGCAGTGCCATCACCACTTGTGAACTGAGGGCAGTCAGCTGAGTGAGCCCTTCTTCCATCTCACCAGATGTCCAGAATTACATCTTGATTTAAATGATGGGTGGAGCAGAGCCCACTGTAGGGAAAGCTCAGGCAGGCAGCCTCCTACAGAAAGCAGGAGGCAGCAGGTGCTAGTGGTTACCACCCCTCAACTGAGACAAGAATTCAAGCTGCAAGAATACGCTGCCTCTCATTCACTCCACCCTAACCTAAGCTTTTTGATTGCAGGTATCAGCGAGCAATTTTAAGACATGAAGATCCCTGTGCACAGCACAAATGCCTCTGGAGATGTAACAAGTGCTAGTCTCAGTTAAGAAACTTGTTGAGTCCAGAGTCTAACTATAGTCTCACTGAGCCAAAAACTAGGGCTGAGAGCTTTGGCTCAAATGCACAATGGTTGCAGAGAAAGTCTTGGGCAAGAAACTGAGAAGCAATAAAGAAAAAGAAAAGAAGGGAAAAAAAAAAAAAGAAACAGTAGGGTTTGTTTTCTTTTGATTGGCTCTTACAATGACATTGTCATGTGGAGAGGGGACACAGGGATTGACTGTACCTTTCCTCTTCTCATTAGGCAGCTATGGGTTACCACATAAAGCTAGCAAGTGGCACACAAAAGGAGAGAGTTCTTCCAATAAAATATAGCTACCCTGTAGGCTTCTTTGCTACTAGATGTTATAGTAGGTGAGAATTTGTATTGGATAAATTCAGAGATGATACTCAAGGATACTAACTACCTAAAAATGACCAAATGGCTTAACATTTGCATTTATAGCTTCAGACACAGATATTATCATGAAAGCAGAAAGCGTAAAGGTGCCAGATCCCTGAGCTCAGAGGATTTTGTATTGAACAGTCTCAGAAGGTGAGCTGCAATGCTTCTATACGTCACTGCTTGAGCACTCAACAGCCAGTGCTTGGAAGAACCACTTTTAACCTGTGAAGAGCCTCAATGCTCATGTTGAAAATGCTGTTAAAAATGTGTGAATTGCAGCACAGATATCAGGAACTGCACTAAGATTACCTCTAAACTGTCAAACTACTATAAGAGGGGAATGCACCTTTTGGTCATACTCACTATCCCTCTGAATTGACTTCAAAAAAGTACCAGGAGAGAAGCTCTATCTCCTATACCCTAGGCCCTTATGCCATCCAGCACTCATCATAGTCCACTTTATCTAATATGAATGCACAGTTACCAGCAGCAGGGTTATAGCTCATAAAATGCAAAGCAGAGGGAAATCTCTCGACTTAAAAAATGCTACCATTCTATTTAGTAAATGTACGCATTATTTAATTCATCAGATAGCAAAACAAAGGTGAAGTATCTAAGTCATACAGTGATGCAACAGCAAATAGAGAAAGAGGTAAACTATAGATAGAAATCAAAGCCTCTACATGCCCTGTTCTATGTATCTTCCTATTGCTTGCTGTTACTTTTGGTATGACTTCTGTCCTTTTAAACTGTTCTGAGTGTTGATAAAATTTATAGATATTGCTTTAGTAATCTGAAGCCTCCCTTGCTGTCTTAACTGCCAGGACCTCTTTTACACTTGTGCAAAGGCAACAAGATGAACTGCTGCTTCAGTATGAATAATTTTGGAAAGAGTGGTGGCAGTTCCTGTCTGAGCTGGGTAGAAGAGATAACTATATGATGCAAAACCCAGCACAACTGCATCTGCATATAAATAGACTTAATCAGAAATGCAAATTGCAATCAGAAGAAATTTTAAAGCCTATGATAACTGTGCAGATAACAAAAGGTCAAACACTTGTATTGCTGAAGGTTTTAAACTGTTATTAGGCAGTGGCGATTGCTTCTTTATGAGCAAAACGTGGAAAAGACAAGTATATGCCAGTCTAATCAATGACAGACAAATTCTTTCTATATTTCTTCTATTATTACAACTGTTCTGTTGTTAAACTCTATTTTACACTGTCAATCTCATCTTAACTTATTCAGGAAGACTCAACGAAATGAAAACAAAATGAAACCAAAAATAGACAGCATGAAATAATACAGCTAATTTACATGACTATACATAGAGGGAATTTCTATCCCTTTTTCATATCCATATATGACAATCCAAATCTTCACATTTTAACATCCTTGTGTAAATAAAAAATTAAATTATGACTACAGTTTGCTGAAACTGCCAGACTGCTTCATAGCATTGTCAAAACAAGCCTAAGACTCTAGGGGAATAACATTTAAAAATGTTATTCAACAGTTACAAATGTTGGCTTCTTCCTCTTTTGAAACAAATGTTTTCATCAATAGTAGCTAAGAAAAGTACTTCTGAAGGGAGGTACCTTGATATTATATGATTTTATATTCTAAGATAAGAATAAAAGAAATATGTAAGTCTTTATCATTTCAAGGCGTTCTAAATATAAATTATTGTAGAAGTCAGGCTGAAAAAAAAAAGTCTTAAACATTACAGCTTTTTAATGTCTTTTCCTATGAGAGATTATTAGGATTTGAAGCACAAACATTTACCAAATATTTATTTCTCCTTTGACTAGACTGCCTTTGAACAAACTAGTGAGTGAAGAGAGCCATCTAGTGCCATACCTTGGAATTTTAAAAAGGGTTTTCACCGGATGCATGTCAAATAAAGGAGGGTCTCCATCCCCCAGTTCAATAGCTGTTATTCCCAAGGACCATACGTCACATCGAGCATCATATGAGTAGTCATACTGTTGTTCACAAGCAATGACCTATCAGAAAAAAGCAGAGAAAACAACGCTTTAACCTAATGTACAATTCACTCCATCCTAGTGTGACATGAAAGTACTTTTTTGAGTCATGTCTAAAATCCTATGTAGCTTTCAAATCCATATCTTTGCCTGTATATCCCAGTTAGGAAAAACCCCACAAAAAAGCAACATTAAATTAGTACTTCTCTTAGGTTTGTTTTCTTTAAAAACAATCATCTCCCTCTTTTTTTAAATACATAAGCTCCATGGGATGCTTCAAATAGCTATACAAAGAACATCACTCTACTAAAATCTGTTTTTGAAAGCACTTCTTACAGAAACCTATTACAATAGCAGTGAACCCTATTGATGTTTTTTTTATAAATTTTTATGACTATTCATGAGGATAGACTGATTTGCACAGCTGTTTTTTAGATAAGAATATCCCATCAGTCATTTCTGCCAATTTTTTTTTTTAGTTTGTCTCTACTAGATTTTAGTAGTTTAAAAAAAAATCTTAATTAACATACCACATACTGTGTCTAAGAAAAACAGGAATCTCTCCTTGGACATCAGAACTGTTTTACATCACAAACTTGATGCACACTTCTAGCTAACCCACTGTTTGCATTCTAATCATAAGCTAACTATTCATATAAGCTGGAAACAATTCTGCATCTAAATGTGAGATTCAAACTGAAGTTTAAATTTAGCCCTTTTCTTTGCAAAGGGATGAGACAAAGATCACAGCTTCACTGCCTTTCATTCTATCATGATTTGGAATCCTGTCTCAAGTTTGTCTTCCCAAATCTCATCAATTAGCCGATGTTTTTTAGTTGTTGCTAAGTAGTGCTTTCACTAGCCAAGGACTTTTCAGCTTCTCATGCCCTACCAGCAAGAAGCTGGGAGGGGGCACAGCCAAGACAGCTGACCCAAGCTGGCCA